TACTGTCTCCATATTGGAATTGTTTCCTTAGAACTTCTTTTGAGAAAGTGGCCTGCTTTGTCAGTTAGACATCCCCCTCCTCCTCCATTTCCTTCCTCCCTATCCTTCCCTCCTTTTCAAACTATCTTTCTCTACCTTTATTTCTCTCTATTTCCCTTTGCAGAATACAAGTTCATTGTAGCAGCACAATGGAGTCATCACCGTTTAACCATTAAGCTGCCTATAATTATTCACTCCCCCTTTTTTTGTGTGTTAAGACAATTATATGATGAATTTACATGTATGCAAAGAGCATGTATGCCATCTAAGGCCCATTTTGGATTATTGGATGATTACCTTGTAATATTTGCTTCTTCTAATACTATCTGTACTGTTCAAAAATGCTTTCAATAAAAAAGAAACCCGTAACTACAGCATTTGCATTGTGAAAACTAAGTGCTTCAAGATGGTGGGGTAGGGGCAATCTATTTTCTTACCTAGAGTATCATACAGAATATATCATATTTTTTTCTTTAACTCCCTATTTAATTATTATTTACTTAATCATTCCTTTCATATTCTTGTATTTAAATCTATATTTAACTTAGTGAATTGATGCTTTCATGATGAGTTTAAAAGTATGCTTTCAAGCTTATTGAGATTAATGAGAAACTCACATAAGAGTCTGCTTTTTAGGATTTTTACTTTATTCTTCAATCAGACAAGATTTAGCTGAACCATACTTTCCCAGACTAGGCTGATTAATGCAAACGTGTGCTTCTCACAGCTTAAAGTGTCACTAAACCCACATCATAAAAGACTATCAGTAAATGCTGTATTACATGCTGTTCACACTCAGTCAGTATGAATTTATTTTTCTATTTACAGCAAAAAACCTGGTTGATCTTGCTGTTCTCTATCTCCCCCTTCTGTTCATGCCCCCAATTCAGCTAGGGATTGTGCAGCTAAATAATAAAAGGATATAGTTAGATAAACAGCAGCTGAACACTTAAGGTACCCACAGTGACCTTTGTAATAGCAGCAAAAATAACTAAAGTGCAGCGCTCAATGGATATTATAATGGAAGGCTCCTTATGAGATAAATTATATCAACAAAGTTTCCTATGAGGTAGTTATCCCACTGGAAATTGTGACTGAAATAGCAGAAGTGCACACTCACCAGAAGCACATGAATAATGCACATGTAGGAATAATAATCCTAGATGATCTGTAGTCAGCAGGTGGTGGGCATCCTTCTGTGGTCTGGTCAGTCAGCCTTCTTATGGTATGAGATACTGCTAGGTCCAGAGGTCCCCTTAAGGGTTGATGGGTGCTCAGTCTACATACAGGACTCCCTCCTCTGGATGCTGGATGGCATAGGACTTGGCTCTGTAGACGTAACAGCTCCACATAGGAGCCCAGGAACAGATGCCAAGATAGTGTAGTATTTCTCAAAACTGAAGTTTATTCAAATATAAGGAAATGACAGGGCAGTAAACATGCTAAAATCAAGCACAAATGTAATCCAGGTATAAAATGTGTCACTGACCCTTTAAAAGATGGCCGCCGGGCCTCCTCGTGGCTTCGGCGGCAAAAAGACGTCACTCTCTGTGCAGCTCCTCCTAAGGCCTTTCATGCTAAGGCACATCATCAGAGGGATTGTGCAGCTGCAGAGGCAACTCTGCACATGCTCAGTTTTCAGTGAATTTCTACGCTGGTCATTTCCTCCCTATCATATCTGAGCAGCCCAATGTGACTATAGAGTCACACATGTGGGCATATGCAGAGTGGTAAATGACAGCCCACTACCTCTCTCCTCCTGCATGCCCACTAACCAGCTAAACACAATGAGGATGAGATATTACATGTAGATTGATGGAGGCTTCACCACTCTGTTATTCTAAGGCACAGGCTGGAGAAGTGTAACACTGCCTGTGACTAGCAGAAATCCACCCACACCATGAAATTTCCACAAAACAAAGATTTGATTTCAAAAATATATTTGTATTAATTGAATAGATTAATTAGGGATAGTGTACTTGCCATACCAGAAGGGAACAAAAAACCCACCTGTATGACACGCTAGCTAAAGGGCCAGTATGCAGATAATTAGACAAGCCAGGTCCCAAATACAGTCATACAATGTAGAAACCAGATATAATGGCAAGATGAAACAGGTCCTGAAGAAGCCAAATGCACAGGCGAAATGCATTGACCGTTTTTTGATTTTTCAGATTGCAATTTTTTATCTATGTGTCAAGTAATTAATATGTATTCAAGAGAGGCACTTTATAATTATTTATGACCTTCTTTTTCTGGCCCCCTTTGTGGGGTTATGTTTGTTTGAGTCTTATAGAGAGTATATGACTATTTTATGTCAATAAATGGTTTCTATGTATTTTATTTGTAGTCTCTTATTGTAATCCATTATTTTTGCCGTACTTATTTTCCGGCTTCTTTTTTTCATGTTTTCATTAGAATGTGGCACTAGGAAGCTTTTTTGGTATTTTTTTTAAGTTATGTATATATAGTTAAATGCCTTTCTTAGTTGTTCATCAAGGGGCACATGAACAGTGGAATTCAGAAATATTAGGTAACATTCCTACTTTTACAGGGATTCAGATACTGGAAAACAAAAAAAGGCCATTGGCTTACCAAGTTTAACCCCACCCACCTCATCTATTGCATCACTTTTTGCTAGTGACCTTGAGAGATGTATGTCTTCTGAGAAAAGAAAAGCCATTTTGGTTGGACTTGTTATGCAGCTATCCAGATCAGCTGATCCTCTACACCAACTTGGAGGCCATTACTGGACCCCTCTAGACTGTGGATTGGGGAGTAGTTTGTAATGTGACTTTGGAGCACTGAGCTCTGCTTATGATGTTGCCAAGGTACCTAGTGTACTAGTTTGATAGCAGTAGAGTTCTTTACAGGTCCAGTGCTGTGTCATAGTCTCTGGTGTGATCCTATTTCCTGAAGTCTACCTAGGGTGCTTGCCTATGGGAAGGGCAAATATTGCCTGAAATGTGACATGTTCACTAGGTTCTGTATGGGCACTCCAGTCCTTTGCTGTGCTTATTAGCTGCAGAATGCTCTCCAGACCTACGGCTATAGTAAGTCTGAGGCTTGTCCCTATATGAACATTATCCACATTATTACTGTTTTCTCCTGTTTTCCAATGAACAAGTTGAGATGCTAGAGAATTAGGTGCAGAGTCAATCTTTGAGGCAGTCCCATTTGCCCAGTACCACTGTAGACCATTGCATCTTACCTCCTCTGAAGACCCTTTCTCATTTGCTCTGCTGAATCAAGAAGGAGAATTCTCATCACATGCTCAGGAGCAAGTTGAACTTCGACTTTGTTAGGCTCCAAGCAGACAGCTTTTCCAGATCACAGGACAACAAGATCTTATGTTCCATGGTCCAGTTTACCACCTGGCTTCATGGCCATTGACTTTGATAGCTTGGCTGTTGAAGTTCAGGTCCCAAAAGATAGGTGTCTTTCTGACTCTTCTTATACTCAGCTAAGGTCTACCATCACACTTTTAAGGCTTACTTTGCCTGGTGCTAAAAAATGTAATCCCAGAAAATACTCTGTGATACAGATCCTGACCTTTCTACAATCCAAGCTGGATCAAAATCAGCATCTGGCTTTGTGTACCAAGGGAACGGACAGTACTCAATTGTTTCTGTCGCAAGTGCACTAATACGGCTACAATCACCTGTACCAAAGGACAAATTCAGTGTGGATCTGATGAACGAATCAGAATGCTGTCAGACTGCTATCTGGTCCATATATCAGACTCACATGTGATGTGCACCACATGGAGGTCCATGCAGGTCCATGCAGCAGGTTGCCTGTCATTGATTTCAGCAAGCTGCCTTCACACCCCTGCACAGAACACCTGTGAATCCCAGGAGGCTGAGGATGGCTGTTCGCACAGGCATATAAAGCAAATCTGCTGATCATATCCCTTGCTGATGTTCTACAAATTAAACTTTCAGAAAGTTTTGTTAACTTGTACTGTATTCATTATTAACCGACAACCTTGTGGATTGAACTGCAGAAATGCAACATCATGTCAAGCATGGGCTTAATTTGATAAGGGTTTAAATTGAAACTTTATAGTCCTCCATTAAATCGTATAAGATATGATTTTAATTAAGGTGCAAGGTAATGAGTTCATATATTTCTGTCACAGGCTTTCTAATTTAACAGGGCGTATCTTCAACATACTGGCTTTGAATAATTTATTTTGGTTGTCATTAGCTTTCAATGCAGAACGAGTTTGGCTGGGTAATTAACTGACATTTGTTAGACGCATGTTTGTAAGTCTCGTAAGCTGCAGTTTGTTACCTTTTCTATAAACAATCTGATTGCATCTCTCTGCTGAGGGAATTTGAGGGCTTTACAGACCTGTGACAGTTTCAACTGCGTTTCAATCTTTACGTTGTAAGAAGAGGAAATGTAGAACTCTTTCATATGAGGTTTAAATTGGATCACTTTTAAGATGACTATTGGACAATGAATAGTCCCAAATACTTCTAGAAGACTAAAACATCTAGCAAAGGTGATTGTGATAATGAACATCAGACAACATTGTGTGATATATACAGTTCATGAATGGCCCCACCAGTGCTGGAACAAGGATAAGGGGACAGGGCCGATAGAAGCATGCACTGAATTGCATGTAATGTTTGTGGCATGCTTTGATATAGTACCAGTGGTTGTAGTACATGGCAGGGAACTAGACTTTAAAATTAGTCCACAAATATGGGGCTGCCAGTGGCAAAGAAAACATTGTCCCTGAGTTGATGTTACCACTTGTGGTGTCACTGAAAGGAAAAAATATCCTTGCATCTGTGGCAACACTGGAAGCAAAAAATGCCTCTTCATCAGTGGTGTCACTGGAAGGCAAAATATCCCCGCCTCTGTGTTTTTGCTATGAAGAAAAATGGCTCTGCATTAGTGTCATTGGGCAAAAAATCCCCCTGTGTTTCCGGCAGGGGCGGACTGACAACTCATGGAGCCCCCGGGCAATAGGGGATCATGGGGCCCCTGTGTCCTTGCCCAAACTCAAAAAAGACTATGAAAAAGGTACCAGGGGCATCTCATGGGGCCCCCTACTGACTCCGGGCCCTCGGGCAGTGCCCGAGTTTCCAAATGGTCAGTCCACCCCTGGTTTCCAGTGTCACTGAACAGAAAAAAAATTCCTTTGCATTGGCAGTATTGCAAAGAGCAAAAATGGTGCCACCTCAGTTGACACTTACTTTTTCAGATAGGGCCATGCAGGTTTGGACAACTTTTTCTTTCCTTAACAAATTAAATAACCATTTAAAAACTGCATTTTGCTTTTTGAAAATGTGTTTGTTACACGAAACGCGTTAGCAAGGTACCCTTTCTCATGGAACACTAACTGCATGACCTACTGTCTACCTCAGATGTAAGTGCTGGTTCTTTTTTTACCTGTACCTTGATGTTACTCCTTTTGTGATCATTAAACATACTACACTACTGGAGTTCTTTCTCTCTGGGCTCATTTTTTTGGCACCGAGAGTCCTTCTCCTGAAGGTACCTTTCTGGATTCTCATCTGAATGTATGATCCCCCTGATGGCTGCAAATTGCACTGCTGGACGCAGCTAATCTAATATGTTCACACATTGATGGAGAGTGGAAACCTGCCCTGGATAGATGACAGCTGGTGAGGCACCCCCACCTGATGACCACATCCGCATGCAGAGTTCCCAGAGTTCCCAGAGTACCTAGGAGTAGGTCTTATATACTCCAACGCACATTAATCTGTGCTATCTGGTTAGTGCATAGTACGCTCATTGCTTCCAGCCACAGCAGTCACGAAAGCTAATTGTTGCTCATTGTGTCACCACAGTCACATTATATCGCATGAACTATATCCAATACTTGTGTTGCTTTGAGATACCATTTGTGTACTGTAAATACTCTATAGCGCTGCATTTGTACTATTATTTTTGGCATATCTTGGAGGATTTGAGGTTGTTTCCCCTTCTATGCTGGCTGCTCCCCTCTGTTTTTCCTGCTATCACCCAGCGCTCATATTTTATTGTTTATATTATGCATTTTGTATTTACTCGGGTTATCTTTGTGTAATATTAAAATTTGTTTGACAATTCAATTATTTATGTGTGACAAATATGCAAAACAAATTCAGTAAGGGGACAAATACTTTTCCATAGCCCTGTATTTTGTTCTTTTATTTAGTTTTCTATTCTATTCTTTTCTATTCTATTATACTATATTTCTTTATTTTTAATCATATTCTATTTTGGATTATTCTATTTTTTTTTTTTCAAATCTGTTCTATTCTTTTTAATTCTTTTCTATTCCAAAAATATGAAAACATCACAAACAGCTCAAATAATTGAAAAATATTAAGTCATATAAAAATTATAAAATATGACTTTTAAAAATTATATATATAAATAGTCCCACTCCAAAATTTGTGAATAATTATGAAAAAAATGATATGTATATAAAAACAAGTGCCAAAATAAAAAAAAAAAAAAAAAAAAAAAAAGTCCTTATTCCAAAGAAGTGTGCTTGAACCAAAGATCAGTACTTTAAACCAACATATACCGCACTCACCAGATTCTGGTGAAATAAATGCCTTTTAGACCTTTATGATAATTCTATTCTATTCCAGTCTACTCTAATTTTCTATTTTATTCTATTCTGCTTTATTCTTTTACTGTATATTCTTTTCTATAAAGCAGCCTAAGTAGGACTCACTTTTATACCTTGCTGTATTTAATATAATAAATTTCCATTTTGAATTTGAATTCATTTTCTAATCCATTTCAAATTTGAATTATTAATTTATGTTATAATTTATTTCAGATTCATTAAAATTTGTTACTATTGTGATTCAGAAATTCAGATACATCAGAATCTCCAAATAACAAAAATCTAGTCAGAATTTCGATTCATAACAAAACAAATTGTACATGATTGTCTAGTATGTCTAGTATGAATCCAATAAACAGAAAAAGCTAGAATGTCAGGGTTGTATCCCATGGAAAAAAAATGTAGAGGCAGAGATCTCCTTTAACAGGGTGACAGACAGGGGCGGACTGACAACTCATGGGGCCCCCCGGGCAATAGGGGATCATGGGGCTCCTGCACCCTCACCCACACCCAAAAAAGCCTATGAATAAGACAATGAAAGGTGCCAGGGGCATCTCATGGGGCCCCCTACTGACCCCGGGCCTCGGGCAGTGCCCTAGTGCTCAAATGGTCAGTCCGCCCCTGGTGACAGGTGAAGTGTGCAAAACAGTGTGAGCCATAAATACAATATACATACGTATACCAACTGACACCAGGTGACGTTCATAAAGATCACCCAAATCAGGTTTGTGCCGTACCTCTGACAGGGTACACACAGTCAGAACATTGCAGAAGCGTATTTACATGAAAGATCCTATCTGCAAACAAGTTAAAGTCCCACTTGTCCTACTTGCAGTAACCCTGCAGTCATGGTAGTGAACATTGACATATGGACAGTATGCACTCCTTTAACCGGAAGCAATGCTGTGCCATGTTCCAGCTGGACCGTAATATACAATATAATATAAATAGAGAGAAAGTGACATTATCAAAGGTGTACTGGAACACAGCAAAGTATGGAAGAATGTCGAACATTTAGAACTCTTGATAGGTAGATAAGCAGAGAATTTAAATGCTAACCCTTAAAGTAGCTGTAAACCTTTATGAAGTGACCCACCTCAGGTGATACACAGAGATGAAACAAATCCTCCTACATAAGTTGTATCTGTTTATCTGCAGTCTTCTCTTCTCCACAACTGTTCAAAGTACAGAATTTATACAGCTTGTCTGAGAGTTCAGAAAGCAGGGGCAGTGAGCTGAAGTTACACTCAGTGAAGGCAGCTGAGAGCTGATTGGAGGGAAGGGACACACCCTCTTCACACAGCACATAGGCTTTCAATCATAAGCTGTGTGCTGGAGTTCTCCCCCCCTGTCACCTTTTACCTCTTGGTGTCAGGAAAATCTGTCAGAAGGGATCCATGCAGATAGGAAAGGAATGAGGCAGCAGGCAGAAATTACACTTAGGGGTTTATTTACTAAAGCTGGAGAGTGCAAAATCAGACTCACTTCTGCAAAGAAACCAATCAGCTTTCAGGTTTTATTGCCAAAGCTTAATTGATCAAGCTGAGGTTAGAAGCTGATTGGTTTCTCTGCAGACGTGGACCTGATTTTGCACTCTCCAGCTTTAGTAAATAAACCCCTTAGTGTTCTGGACTGAGATATGTACACACTACATGTTCATACTGTATATCATGTCAGGTTTACAACCACTGTAAAGCAGAACTTCACCTGAAATGATACTTTTTGCTTATCATCCTCCTCCCCCCTCCTCTTTCGTCATTGGAGATTGTTTTTTTTTTTTCTGGGAACGAGAACCTATTTTTGACAGTTTGGGCCCCCCCCCCCGCCCGCAACCTCCAGGGACACCTCACAGGTCCTAGGAGAATCTGGGACCATTGAGAAAGCTCATAGTGTCTGCAAGGAGCCAGTTTCACAGCAAGCTTTCCACATTCAAGATGGTGAACTTGGAGACTGGCGAAGAACCATCCCAGGTGAAGACAGCGCTAGATCCCTGGGCTGGTAAGTATCTTTTTATTAAAAGCCAGCAGCTGAGTTTTTGTAGCTTTTATTTTTTTTTTGTAACAAGACTGAAGATCCTCTTTAAGGAAGATGGACTGTGCTAGACTAAAGTGTCGTCTGAAAATAATCTTTCACTGCTTATATTACAAACAGCAATAATATGTTATATCTACTCTTATATTGACTAATCAAAAATCAGCTTCAGTTGTAGGCGGACTTATTGTAGTTGGGCTAATGCATACCATTTTGTGACAGCTGGTATTTACCACATTTACTATCATCTTTGAATTATATTAGAATATTATATTAATAATAACAATAATTACATTTCAATTGCTATTAAATAATAATTATAATTATTATTATTATTAACAATAATAATAATTGTAATAATTATTATTATTAACTATTATTATACAGTATTATATTATTTTATATTATATTATTATTATTATTATAATACAGGATTTATATAGTGCCAACAGTTTGCTCAGCGCTTTATATTATAATATATTGTATTATATTATTAGTTTTTCTTTGAGCTGTCAGGTTTGGTAAATAATCCTCATGTTTTCCAAATTATGTGGGTGCTCTGAATTTGCACTGATGTGACGTCCAGACTTAAAAAATGAGCAACAAATTTCTGGAATGGGCATATCCTGATGATGTTTTAGGCCCGATTCACATCTCGCAATTTGGGATCGCAGACAGAATCACTGCGATTCTGCCCTTGATCCCACATTGCATGCTAATTGCAACACAATGTGCTGCACTCGATTGGGTGCCATTATCCTTCAACAGTGCCCCAAATGCAATGCGATTCTGCCACATTTGTCGTATGACAGGATCTTGTGCTGAACCACACCTTTACAAATCTTGTGAAGCTTGTCGCCTGAAAAGGAGAAGGAGTTTCCTTTCAACAAACGTGCATAGGGCCACCCAATTGTGTGAAAATGTCAACATCACATAGCAGGAACTCTAGGTCCTGCTACATCAAGCTCTGATGGCATGTTGGGAGACTGGATATATTTAGTGAGCAGACTGAGCTCTGTGTCTTTTCGTGGATAGGATTAGTCTGCTGTTGTGAGGCATCAGGTGGGCGACCTGAGAGCTCAGTATATATACTGAGGTTGCTAAGAGCTAAATGAGGGGTGGTCTACTGAAGTCCTGGTCTGGTATCATGAAAGAAGGCAACCAACTGGCTGTCCTTGGGCCTTGTGAGTACAGATACCCCTAAAGGATCTTAGAGACTTCTTGCTGCTAATACCACTCTGGTGCTAGATAGTCAGCTGTGGGTCTAGTTAAAGTGGACACCGACTGGTGCCCTGAAGAGGCCTGTGTACATGAAGCCTTAGTCCCATCTTCCACTGCGGCTTGTAGTTCCCAAAGATCTATGAGGGTGCTAGTGAGCACTCTTATAGTTCATTGATTCTTCCTGCATTTCAGTAATGTCTGCTTGTATGGAAGGTACGGGCAGACAGCTTACTGAGAGTCTGCAGGATCCTGGCATTGCACCACTGCATTTGTGACCTGTGTTTGGGTTGTCATCAAATTAACACTGACACTCGCTGCAGATCATGCAGTGTAATTTGAACGCGGTTCGAGAAATGTGGAAGGGATGAGAACTTCCTACACCATGTTTTGGTGTGACCTGGCCCGAAATGCAGAGGTTTTTTACCAAACCAAACTTTACAGCTGTTTTACAAAAAGTTAATGTATCCTTAACCACTTCAAGTCCAGACACTTTCACCCCTTTACTATCCTGGCCAATTTTCAGTGCTATCACACTTTGAATGACAATTGCGCTGTCATGCAATCCTGTATCTATATGAAGTTTTTAGCATTTTTTTGAGACAAATAAAATTTATTTTTGTGGTATTTATTCACCACTGGGATTTTTATATATTTTTTTTGCTATATAAATTAAAAAGTCCAAATTTTTTTTTTTAAAAAGGGTTTTTCTTATAAAATTTTGCAAATAAATAATCTTTCTTCATAAAGGCTGTAAAATCAATAATTTCTCCTTCTCTCTGGCTGCATTCTTGCAGCCATTGAGGAATACTGTGAAAGCTGTGATTGGTCACAGCTTGTCACATGGTATATGGCTGTTGTGAATAGCCTTGTACCATGTGACCTCTGTGATCATTCACAGATTTCACACATAGTAAGGTGATTGTAGCCGTAACAGTGCATTTGCAACAGAAACAATTGAGTACTGTCCGTGATACTTTTTTTATTTGCACTAACATACAATTTTGAGGACATGCTTTCGGGGTATGTCCCCTTCTTCAAAGTCCAAGAAGTACTGCTTGGACTTTGAAGAAGGGGACATACCCCGAAAGCTTGTCCTCAAAGTTGTATGTTAGTGCAAATATAAAAAAAGTATCACGGACAGTACTCGATTGTTTCTGACACGTAGTAAACAATGATGTGAGGAAGTGACATCTTGTTTACTACTGTTTCTGTGATCACTGATTGGCCAATCCGTGATCACATGATCAGGACCTTACTTAGACGTCCCGTACAGTGATCGGTGTTCTCCGAACACAGCGGGCACCGGATCGCGTGCTGCGCGCTCCCAGGGAGTGAACACAGGCAGTGAATGCGGAGGCCATTTATAAACAGCCACCTGCTCCTGCACTGCTACCATCCAGCCGTTTATGTTCATGGGCCAGATGGGAAGTGGTTAAATAACATGTTTGGGGGAAGCTTTATAGCTGCATGTAGCAATACGATTTTAACAGACAGTCTCTGGAACAGTGTACACAAGCAGCACATTTTTGGCCGTGGAATTGATATCCTTCTTTTACAGTTAGCTTGGCTTGCATACAGCAGCAACACCTACATCTGATTCAATAAGGTCTGAATAAAAAAAAAAAATAAAAATAAAAATCAGGACGCTTTAGTAGCAGCATATTTTCATTTTTTTAGGAAAAAGGGCCACTTTGACCAACAAATAGAAATTGACTGGTAGCTCGTTGAAGCTGTCCCCGTTCTCACTGATGCAAAACTGTCCTGCCACTTGCCAATTTCTATCAAACTCACACTCTATCAAACTCACAACTCAAAAGGTTAAAGTGTTACTAAACCCGGGACCCTGCATTCACTATATCTGGTCTCCCCGGACCCTGCATTCACTATATCTGGTATCCCCGGACCCTGCATTCACTATATCTGGTCTCCCTGGACCCTGCATTCAGTATATCTGGTCTCCGACAGTACACAGGACATGGGAAATGTATTTATTTTAGTAAATATAAACTGCTAAATACATTTTCTCATCTAAGGTCAGAGCAGTCTTCTGGCTTCTATCAGTGTTCAGCCCAGCACTAGCAAAAGCTTGTAGGAGGAGTTTTCTTTCTGCTCTAGGAGGATGCAGAACCCCTGACCTCTGTCTGACCAGTGCTGATTGGCCCTGTGCTGGGCATGTGCAAAACCGAGAATGTGCAAAATGCCTATGGTCCAGTCTGTCTTATCAGGAGATAAGAGGTGGTTGTTTGAAAAAGAGAAGGAACAGAGAAGAAAGGATCAAACTGCCTTTTTACACAATGCAGAGGATTAACCCCTTAGGTTCCACAGTGAGTATAGCAATCATGCTTTACTGCATATACAGACTGATTGTACTGTTGTGGGTTTAGTAACACTTTAAAGCACTGCAGATTTATACAATAGTGTTAATTAGAAAACAATTACAGGTAGGTGTTTTACTACAAGAATGAATGAAGAGACCTCATATAATAACTGCAGTGAAAAATGGT